TCAGCCGGCAGCCGAGCCGCCCGCCCGCATTTTCGGAAGCCGGCAAAATTTTTTGCGGCGAATATCTCTCGGCCGGAGGGCCGAGAAATACGCAGTGCGGCGACAAAGTGATGAGACCGAATCTATGTCAGTGGAGCTTAGCGGCAGCCAGTGCCACAATAAACACCAGTCGATACTTCAAACGTTTATTCCGCCGGGATTTTCGCGGAACGCTCGCTGGAATGCTATCAGAGCTTCTGTATGCTTGATTGTATTAACCCTTAGCACTCCGCATAGTTTTGTGATACGTCAGCAACTTCTACCAATTTTGATAGTAGTTTTACTGAAAACGAATAATGTTCTAACATTTCTTAGACCTTTAATTCCCTTATCAGTACAAACTTTGTATATTTGGAAGATTTAATAAACTTACCAATTTTGATAGCAGTCCTACTGAAAATTAATAATTTTATAACATTTCTTAGACCTTTAATTCCCTTGTCAGTACAGACTTTGTATATTTGGAAGATCTAATAATCTTAAGGTAGTTTTCTTAAAATTCATTAAAATATTTAATATTACTGGTGCAATATTGGAGCCTACGGAGTTCAAAGGGTTAATAGGTGGATCGGGGATCTTTGAGAATTGGAATTGCTTTTGACGGGAAAACTATCGAGCAGTTGAATTGACTTTCGGAAGTTCGCATATAGATATTTTCGAAATTTATCTCCTGAGAGTTTAATTGATTTACAATTCAGTTTGATAGCTAAATCAAATTGTTTAATCATTCCTCGGAGAAATTCTCCTCAGTCCAAACTCTCAAAACAAGAATCCGTAAAGGAAACAGAATTATAAATTACAAAGATAATAATATAGTAGATCCACGCAGAATTACCAGTGGTTCACCGAATATCCTAGAATAAATTCCCCAAATTTCATATTCAAACTCTCAAAACAGGAATCCATAAAATAAACAAAACTACAAATTACAAAGTTAGCAATATTCCAAGTATATCCTCACAGAATTACCAGTGGTTCACCGAATATCCCACAATAAATTCCTCAAACATCATATTCGACCTCTCAAACGAAGAATCCATAAAAGAGAAATATCAGCGGTTCTACAATCGAGAAAAATACGTTGAATCGAATAAATCACACCGAAGGATCCATTCGAAATACCGAGTACATTCTCGTCGCCGCAGTTCTCGGTAGCGTTAACGGCGACATAGTTTAGCTTCCGGTGTCGCGCGACTCGGTCTGAATAATAAAGGAATTTGTCAAGAGCAGAGGTTTCCCGTCCCGAGGAGCCATTAACACTTGCTTCGGATAGTGGGCCGTCTCTAACCGGGTCATACGCACGATATTCTTGGGACACGTGTTCCGCCGTAATTCCAGCTGCAGAATGCTAAACAACCGGGTGCGTGGGGCGCCAGATACACGTTAAATACCATATAATACCTGACGTGCATGGCGTCTGCGTGGTCGGGTCTGGCCTCTGCACAGCATCCGACGTCTCCGAGCCATTCACCGCCACGCATAATCGACCAACGGGCCACCACCCTGCACGCTGCTCGCCCCAATTGCATATATTATGGTCACTGTATCTCGAATCTCTTCTGCGTTAGTCTCTTTCTCTCTCGTTGCCTCTCTGCATCTCTGCTCGTCTCTCTTTCTCTCTCATTCCAATTCTTTTCCTCGCTGGATCTATCTTTTTGTCTCTCTCTCTGTCAGTTTCTCGCTGACTCACTCTGTTTCTTTTCTTTTTTATGTGTTTCCTCGTTGTTCTCTCTTTTTCTTTCTTTCCCTCTTAGTTTCTTTCTCACTTCTCTACTCTGTCTCCCTCTGTCTCTGTTTCTTTCCTTT